GTCAGTATCCCGAAGAAAGGCCGTATTAAACTTTTGTGGTGTTATCCGCCCCGTTGTCCAGTTCTTCTTCAGTTTCAGTTTCATTTTGGCGACCAGCAAGTGGTGATCTGAGGCTATACTAGCTCCTCTCTTGGTTCTCACATCCTCCATGGTCCTTCTGAACTTTTAATTGATGCAGATATGTTCGATTTGGTTCTATATAGTTATGACCCAGTGAAACCTATGTGAGTCTTTCTATTTGTTTTTCTGGGAATGTGCTGCCGCCTATGGCCAGTTTGTTTGAGGCACATAGGTTTGCAGATCTCTCACCGTTCCCGTCCCGTTCTCCCAGTCCATGTCATGTAATGATGTCTTCATATCCGGTGTTGTTGATTGCAACCTTGGCATTTAGGTATCCCATCAGAATGGTCATGTCCTTTGTTGAGCATTTCTCAACGAGTGACTATAGTCTTTCGTAGTATTGATCTTTATCATCTTCATTGTTATCGTTGGTGCGCGTATAGCACTGAATGACATTTATTGTAATGCTATCTTTCTTTGTATTGTAGGACGCTTTGATGGGATGTCCACTCTCTCCATTCTTGTTTAATTTTATCATTGAGTAGACCTTTTACCGGGGGGCTCGCTTATCGACTTAGAATATGCCGATGACATAGTTCTATTCGGTGAAGACGCTGACAAAATGCAGTGTCTTCTGATTACCCTAAGCAACAACGCAAGGAAGTTCGGGATGCGGTTTTCCCCCTCAAAATGGAAAATGTTGCTTCAAGATTGGGTTTCATCGGCACCTGAACTAGTGATAGGGAGTGAAGTAGTCGAGCGTGTAGACCGCTTCACATATCTTGGGACTCTCATCAGTGCTGATGGCCTGGTTACTGACGAAATCTCAGCACGGATACAGAAGGGCCGATGGGTTTTCGCCAACCTCCGTCAATTATGGAGTAGGCGGGATATCCGTTTACTGTCTAAACGACGAGTGTACTGTACAGCAGTTCGCTCCGTCCTACTTTATGGCTGTGAAACATGGCCAGTGAGAGTAGAAGTCAGTCAGTCAGATGCAACGTAGAACCTTTTACGTAAGTACAGCAGTTCATGTTGCCATACCTTATTAGCACAGAGATGTAATTGTCAATTCAAATCCAATAGTAGAAGAGGTAGTAAAGGTATTAGGAGTAATTGGAGAGGTTAGGATTAGAAGATATCATTCAAGAAATATGATTCAATGAGAAAAGTTTAGAAAGTAAAAACTAGAGGTGTTGAAGAATCCAGAAGATTAGGATTTCAGAGAACACAAAGAATAAATGCACGGGCGCCGTTGCAAACGGTTTTGAGCCATGAGAGTAGAAGATATTCATAGGTTACTGGTTTTCGATCATAGATGTCTTCGAAGCATTGCTCGTGTATCGTGGGACAACCGAGTAAGCAATGCTGTTATTAGGAAACGGGTGCTAGATGAGGATGGTAGATCAATAGATTTAGAGTTGAAACTCCATCAGTTGAGGTGGTTGGGACATGTGTTACGAATGCCCAACCACCGACTGCCTCGACAAGCTGTTTTATAGTGTGGGAGTAGGTTGGAAAAAAGCTAGCGACAGCGAAACCAAAACATGAGAGAAATACATAAAGTCACTAAAAAGTGGACTGAGTCATGTTGGTGGATGTAGGCTACCTGGATGGGGTCTGCGAGATGATAATAATCGATGGTTAGAGACCCTGAATGACATGGTTGAAAGCCGTTTTCAATGGTGCAGGTGCATTCATTCTTTGTGTTCTCTCAAATCTTAAACTTTTACATTCTTCATCTTTTTATCTTTATCTTGTTAAGTCTGTTTCACTAGATTCTATTTCTGGACTAATATCTTCTAATCCTAACCTCTCCGACTACGGCTAATACCTCTACTTTCTCTCCTACTATTGGATTTGAATTGACGATTACATCTCTGTGCTAATGTGGTATGGCAACAGGAACTTATGTACGTACGTACGAAGTTCTGCGTTGCTATTGATTGATTGATTATATTCTTGTAAATTCAGTGAATGCGCTTTCGTGTACTTGTCACAGTATATGATATATTCTGACTACATGATTACAATTTTGTCATGACTGCTAGAATAATGAGAAAATGTACCATATCAAGAATGACTCATTAACTTAGTCACTTTGTGAATTCATCACACTGATTATGGTCATTTTAATTGCAAATAGCTGTCAAAATAGAATAAATTTTCACTGAACCTAATGCGAAGCCATTACACTGGAAATATAGTTCAAATGTCACGTATTTCACAGATCAGTTCAATAATACCGTATCTAATGCTTTCCATTAATGTCTCAAACTGACAATCGCGTTCATCTCAAAACTAAGTCCAAACAACTAAGTTAAATATAACCGTAAGGTCAACAACAAAAACAAAGGCATGTGAAAGTTCAAGAATAGTAATGATATATTTTATCGTACGTTGTTAAGAGAATGCATAGTTATGTTTATTTATACACTATAATTTTGTTTTAATTAGGTAACATTTTTATTCAGAGTATGTTCATGTATGAGTGGTGTTATTAATAGTATTTTGTGACTACATTAAAATGCAGAAACAGTTTAATTCAATAGTTACTAGTAGATTTAACTTTTTTTAATCCTTAAACTTCGCTTATTAGTCTACGATACCGATTAAGCTCAATTCTGACATGTAAGTTTTGTAAGTGCTGGTGGTGCCGTAAGTGATGAGATGGATTCACCCATAGTGAAATCCATAGTGGCTTACAACAACAGCGACAATACTTCAATTGGTTTCACCATCTTAAAACATCGACTTCAGTGACTTGAATATGTATTACGAATATAATACCAGCGAATTCCACATCGCATATTATTTAACAAAGCTGATATCGGTTTGGAAAAGCGACAATATGGTTAATGTATGACATGATGTCTCGGTATGAAAGGAAGCTATGTAGAACTGAAATCTGATGGTGTAACTCACTGGCTTGAGACGTTATCAAACATGCCTCTGAATAAAAGCTAGTGGTGATTCTGGTTTAACTTTCTTTTATTTTCTTCATATAAATGAGGGGAATATCGTTAACTGAGAGGATTCTTTCTGGTTGTATTTTCTTTAACTGAACTGTTTCTCTCACCATTATTAGTAGTATTATTTCACTCTCTTACACTACTTTCTATCCATTCTTTTTTGTTATTCATCGTTCTTTCTCTACCCCTTGAAAACCTCATTTTATTGTGTGGCGCATGTCTATTTTGGTACCTACTTGTACCAACATTTATTTGTTTCATAGAAATAAATCAAAGTTCACAAATGGTGGAGAAAATTTGTAGCTCATGTGGATGATTTTGGTGGTGTTTTGTTCTCTGAGCTGGATGTTTTGGTTGTGGAGCTTTCATTGTTCTCCTGAACAACATCATCGGCACAAAATTGAGATAGAAGTGAAGTATTCGAATTTCTCCACGTTTGACCCGTAGATTGGTGTGTTCTGATCTAGGTTGACTGAACAATACCACAAAGACTTACAAAACCTGTACATAAATAACTTGTTAATTATATCAAAGTAGTTAGACGTGTGTAAATTTTCTGTTACTCTATGCAGTTCCAGTAACATTATGATTATTGCAAATCAGTAAAATTATATTAGCAATGTGTTCAATTAATCTGTCGAATTGATAAAAAATTAATAACTGGGGAACATACACAACACTTTAGTAATTGAGGAACCATATAGAAAAATTGCATCTACCCATCTAAGTTATTGACCATTCACTATATAGTTATGCTGGTAGGTGCAGACTTCATAGTTCAGATTCTCATAATGGTTAAATAATTATGATGAAATGGGAAGAAAATATTTCTTAGCTTATCATTTCGAAGTTCGAGTTTTCATTTCAATTTTACGACTAGAAATAATTGAATTTATATCTTAAAACTGAAAAGTCATTAATGCGTGTTTCGTTTTGCACTAATCGATTCAGTTGTGAGAACTTGTTAAATTTTATTGAGATCATGAATCGACCTTAGATAATTATTGCAAACCTGGAAGTACTGAATCACCCAAGTAAAGGACTGGCAATCTGAACTTATGTACGCGTGTACAAAGTTCTACCTTGTAACTGACTGACTGAAAGGACGTCTTAAAATTGCTCATTCGCTACTCTGTCTGACTTGGGTGAAGTAGTTTTCCAGTGCTTCTAGGTTTTCGATCTTTTCTAGATATTCACTTGGTTCACTTTACCTTTCACCCTTAAATTCATTTATTTTCTAAACGTTTTGTGCTTTCTCACATTCTTGTAACCACGTCATACTATTTACTACTATTAAGTAGTTCAAAGTTTACATTAATTATTTTCATATCGTAAATGTCAGGTCAATTTCAAATACCTTGTTGTTATTCTTGTATATCACTGCATCTCAATAAACCCGTATATCTGTTTTTCCATTTTCTTAAATATTGAATGCCAGTTCATGAATAAGGTTTATTTAAAGCGAAAATAATTATAGAATTGAGGTTTTCATGCATCATTCAACTAACAGTACATCTCTCTGTGGTTGTCAGTCTAATTTCTATCCTCTATATCATACCTTGATGTATTGTATTGTTTAAAATGCATTAGTTAGGGTACTTACTCATGTCAATGATTCTCATATGCATATCTCATCTTTCTAGGCACAAACCTTCTAGTCGATATCGTTTCCTGATTTTTACTAATTGAGTTTGTTCGATGCTCCAGATCTCATTTTGATTCAGTCGGTAGGATCTTGGCTAGTTAGATTTTAATCTTTAGAATCTCTTAAACAACGTCATTGATCATTTCTATTGCTGAAATTACAAAAATCTTAGAAATCTTACCAATAATGTTTGTACTTATATCCCGTACATGCTACACAAGTCTTCGTTTTAATCAGCTGGTTTACGAAAAGTTTTTTCAATGTGTTTTCATATTAAGGTTATAATAATATGTATTTTGACTACTTCACATACTAATCCATAGGTCGCCTTACGTTATTTCCCTGAACGTCTTACGAAGAATTCTATTAATCATCAAGGAACTAGAAATAATTCTACTCCAGAAACTGGTGACAACAAGCCCGAAAAATCAGATTTGATTATGCAGTCAAAAATAAATTCATGTACTGCTCCTCCTTCGAAGTGGATCAATTCGAAACCGCGTTCACGTATTCCCACTCCTGATTCATTAGGATCTTCTCTATCTTTCAATAATTCTCCTCATCTTTCGCCAATACCTGCCTCAGATCCAATCAGTTTCGATAAATCTCCACAGCTTAATAATGATATTACAGACCCAACGGTTGTCAAAACCTTTCGAACTGTACATTCAACTTTACATAATCCAATCTCACGAAACAATGAATCACATTATAGTTTAAGAAATGTATCTAATCATTCATCACTTGGAAATGTACGTAAAAGATTACATCCATCCAATTGTTCACAAACTCCAGTTTCATATGACACATCTAAATTTAACAATAACGATAATCTTTTAATTAATACTGAATCATTCACCAATTCAGACTGTGATATTAATGGTTTACAAGGAAAATCTGCCAGTTTACCATTTTCATCTCATTCACCTTCATCAGCTTCATCAAGTTCTACAGTTGGATTTTTTCATGATTCATTTAGTTCAGATAGTGAAGGAACATTAATCAGTTCATCGAATGTTAAATTATCAGAACAAACTAATGCACAGATCAATAAATCATCAACTTATGAATTTCATTATTCACCTAGTTTATTATCATCAACTACAAAAACTAATTCCAATGTTCCAATTCACAAACTTAAATCAAAATCATCAAGAAGTCGTAAAACTCCATGGTGGGATAGAACACGTGGAAAAAAGTCCAAATCCAAGGTTACTAATAATAATAATAACAACACTAAATATAATGAACATCACAAAGATTTAATCGATGAAAAAAATTCACTAGTAAGTTTATGATCACATTGTTCCATATTTTAAGTAAACAAGAACATTATTACAAGTTTAATATTGATAAAATTGAGCATATTTTTATTCCTGTTACTTATTACTGAGAATGTGAATACAACTAAATAACTGTTCACTATTGGTCTAAGTTATAGAGAGTAAAGCAGCTGAATGCATTGATCACTCCCTTTATTTTGGAGGTTTCAAAAGTCCTAATGGGTCGATAATACATCTGACGAAATCGTAGCATGGATTCAGAAAGCTTGGTTGATTTTTATCAACTTTTACAGTTGGTAAAGTGTCCATCACCCTGTTCTGACCGTGAATTGCGGTTCATAGAAATAGAGAATAGGCATCTAATAGTTATACATAGACGTCTTCAAAACATTGCTGGTATTTGTATGTTAGAAATATGGATTGAGTAGTTCTGGGGTTAGACACCGTTTATTAAGTAAAGATAAAATTTTTAGTTAATATTGCTAATCTTTACCAACTCAGGTGGTTGGAACATGTATTACGCTAGCTCAACCACTGCCTACTTTGATAACTGATGCTGACTAACGTAGGAATAGATTGAATAAAACTAGAAACAGCTAAAGCAGAATACAATATCACTCCACGATTCCACTAACTGTTGGACTAAACCATAGTAATAGATGTACACTAATTGATCAGGTTCCACATGACTATCGTAACTAAAATTGGATATGTTAAGTGATATGATTTAAAATGGATCGTAACGATGCAAATCCATTGACTCTTTGTTTTCTTTTAAATGTTGAATTGTAAACTTATCTTATTGTTGTCTTAAGTTCATATCACAACCGGATTGTTTCTTTCGTAATCACATTGTCCATGTGTTGTAATATGTTCTATCATTGTTGATCGATACTGTTACTACTTCTAATACTGTATTTTATTTGTGTTGATAATTTGATCTATGAATGCTGATATTGGTATGATGATGAATGAAACTAATGTACATATGTTTCAAATTTTTTACATTGCTTATGATCGACTAACTGATCTTTCCTCTCCAGACTATCATCATCATCATCATGAAAGGAAACCTTAAATACTGGTTAAATCCTACTGCTTCTAATTGTTAGTTGTTTTTGTTGCTTGTATTTAATCATCCTGTGAACAATTTTCCAAAATTGTATGAATATTATTTCCTCAATAGGTCTTATTCATATTCATGCACCCTCTTTTAATATAATATAGCTCTTTTGTACAGTAGTTCGACTTTTTGTCAATAAATATACTTAGGTTGTCATTAGACTACTGTCTTGGTCTTGACGACACATTCAACTTATCGAATTGCATTATAACCATCTTTTTATTTAGTTGTTTCGTTCGGGTTTTTATGATTCATAGCTAATCTATTTCGTTTATAGTTTCATAAATCAAACCTTCTATTCAATAATAATTGATTGCTTTAGTTCTATTGATCCATTTTGAAATTTCTCGCTTCTTTATCTCCAGAGGATTTGTTTAGCTTAGCTGGGAATGCTTTTATCCTACATTCATCTCTGTATACATTTGTTGATATTTCATGCAAATCTATCTACCTAAATGTTTGTCGCTTCTCCTCTTGTCTGAAAATACTTTTCTCATAGTGATTTGTCATAGTATATATATATATTCAACATCCGTGTCTGTACCAGTAGCTAAAACATACAAATTTTGATGTATTGTTAAATAATCATTGGTTGTTATCGAAAATTTTGGCTCAAATTAAACATTTGGTTATATATATATATATATATATATATATATATATATATATCCCTGGAAACTAGTATTTCATCGTTTATTTTTCAGTTTTAAATTTATTTTCTGAAGTTGTAATTTATTATTTTGGGAAAAATTAACTTCCTGGAACATGTTAATCATATATTCATTTCTCTGAAAATGATCAAGCCCACACACCCTTATGTACACCTGCCTATAGGCAACATTGTTAACCTGTGTTAGTCGCATTAAAATTCCGAACAAAGACAAATCATTATATCACTTTTCTGAACCTCAGAAAATGTAGAAAATTCATGAGCACCAAACTGCTAATATATTGATATAACTTGAATAAAGGGAAGCTATATGGATGTGGTGTATATTACTTCCGATGGAGCTTATTAGTAGTATGTGGCGAGTGTGAGCAGAGAGAGTCACCCTGAAGTTATGGCCGAATCAAAATGTGTCTGTGGGTGCTTGGAGGAATATAAAATATGTGGAAGAAGATAACCAAGAACACGTTTGTTTTGCTAAATGGATGTTTTATGATAAGGTGTACACTTTATGACCAGTGTTTTCAAATAAAAATGGCTTTCCCACCTGGACTTTCATCTTTGTTCATTACATGGGGTGGTGATACAACACATATTTACACTACCAGTTTTTGCCGTTCAGTAGTATTGTTTATGCCTTGCAATCTATTTTCTGAACAAAGTAGTTCTTCCACTAGATACAGGTTCGTATAATAGACCTTGAACTATGGTACTGTTTGCGTGACATCTACCGATGAACCCTATCTGGCTTGTTAAAGTGAAGCGTAACTCGAAAGCATGACCTATTTGTAAACATGAGCCCATCACTCTACGTTTCTAACCGTTTTAGTACTTATTATTATTATTACTATTATTCAAGCATTTACTTAATTCTATTTTCTTATATTATTGGTTTTTAGACTCAAAATCGATTCATCAATACTCTGTCCAAGTGAGTTTCCTCTCAATTTTAGTGCGAATTTCGTATCGTATCATTTTGATGTCTACCAAGCGCTTACATCTTATCACATATTTTATATGTCTATTCTTATAAAAGATTATTGTTACCATTGTTAGATAAATAAAAACTGGCTTTTTTTGTTTCTCTCTCCGAATCATACATATATGTGTATATATTTTTTTTTAATTAGTTAGTTCAGTAGATGCATTAAGGTCTATGCACCTAACATTAAGTCATTCTTTGTGTTTTTAATTCTATGTAATACAAATATATTGTGGAACAATTATGCGCTAAGAAGTTATGTACCATGTAACGAAACACATAACATTGTGGAAAAGTAAACTTAGGAACGAGAGTATAGTCAAAAGAATAAGTGAATAAGAATAATATATGGTAGAACATACATTTCTATTAAAAATATGACTTTGAAGGACTTTTGGTTGAGGGCGTTCCTCTCACTGTTATCACGGATGTAAAAGAAAACTATTATAGGATAACCATCGCCTGATAATGTATAAAGCAGTGAGTTGTATTATCGCTACAACTTCAACCAATGAATCCTGATAGGTTGACTGATACCAATTCTACATAGCTTACAAAAGCCCCGTATCAGATACTGACCTTGTTCTCTGCTTTTTTGACTCTGTATCTCCAAAACATCCATGATGAGAAAGACATTTAAAAGACTTTGGTTAAACATGTCCAAACCACCAAAGCCAGTGTTTGAAGATAGTGATAGCAATCTGATTATCGTCACTACATTTAAAACACATTACTGTTATGGTATTGCCACTCATTGTCAGTGATCTTTTGAAGAGAACAAAGATTAAGCACATAGAGTTGTTGAACATTCTCGAATTGAGAAGACCAGGTGTAAAAGTTGAGAGAGAAAATGTTATCAACGATACATGTGAACGCAACTTTTTCCAGGCAGGCTAGCATTAGAACGGCTTCAAAAATAGTCCAAATAGTTTTACTCCGCCCAAATATTTACCATACATACGTAGGTTGATTTTAATCTAGTGAATAAGACTAAGTTGGTTCGACTGCAAGTAACGTACAATATTGATATTTTCTAATTATCTGTACTGTGTATTTACACCTCAATAAATTGTAATGATATATATAACTTACCACATTAGTTACAAATGTTACTCATAAACGTTTAACTTTATTATAATTTTAAATTTTTGTTCATATTGTAATTTACTAAGTAGTCGATATTATATCGTACTTTGTTCAGTCGGACTAAATAGGTCATTTCAAAATTAACGTATCTCGATATTTTGATTTATTTTTGTTGTTAAGTAAAACATTATCAACCTTTTCATGTTCCTACTTGCGCCATCCGTTTCATGGTTTTTCTGTTGAAGAACCCAAATTTCTCAACAGGTATAAGAGATTTTTTTGATCACACCTCCAGCAGCTACCCAAATGCACAAGTTTTTTGACTATTTCCAGATCTTTTCTACAGAGGTTGAGTGCTGGTACATGCTCTTACCGTTCTTAGGATGTGTTTTTAGCAAGTTTCTTTTCTTCTGGGTAGGACAGCTAACCTCATTCCCCGAGAATCAGTGATTTACTAATGGAGATTGATAGTGGTTAGTAGTAGAATACAAAAAGTGCGTTTCATCCTGTTTGAGACTCGTCAACTGTATGTACCTGCATCCCATAGTAAATGTTCACTCCGTGTGACTCGAACCCTGTACCGCGCTCTCTTCAAATAGTTAGTCAGTACAAGACCATTTTATCTGAAAAGCAACGTATTGGTTAGTTAAGAAATTGTTGTCTTATATGTCTTTATATGTACATTTCTGCACTTTGCTTTATTTGATTATTTATTTATAAATTTTGTTGTTTTTCATCATTCTCATTAGTTAGTACTATGTAATTTTTCTCTATTTTTTTTTCATCAATCAATATACTTTATCTGTTATCCGTAATAGCATCAATATCGATGAAGATCTCTTGCATAATACAAATCAAAAAATTGATGCTAACTGTAATAATACTCGTAAAAATACATCATCACGCCTATCCAGAAAAAAAATCATTACAATAAAAAATACTGTAAATAATTTTACTATCAAAAATGGCAATGTCATAAAGTTTACATTTGATCAAAACACACTTTTTGCATTGGGCTCATCAGCAAATACGTGAGTTATTAGTCTCTTTAATGTTTTAAATGCTTTCTGACTCAAATGATTGTGTTAAGTTGTGTCTTACAGGCTCATCTCTTCTCACTGCAGCTTTGCTCAGATAACCACCGATTTTTAGCAAACACTAACTTTAAGCATAAGGAAAAAAAAATCTCATGACCTGGCGACCCTCAAGGTCGACTCAACTAGATCACATCGCTATAAGCCATCGGTGGGGAGGCTCTATTGAAGACTGCCGCTCATTCTGGAGCACCAATTTAGATTCAGTTCATGCTCTAGTGCAAGCGCATATCTGCTTGAGGCTTACTGGACGTAGGAAAAATATCGCAAGGAAACCTCTTACGGCTCTCCTTAATGATAGCACAGCTAAGAATATATTTCAGGAACAGCTGGAAAAACAGTTAGGCAGTCATGTAGTAAGTGATGCCCATCCCGAGACAGCTTGGAATGATATCCAAAAAGCTGTGGAAACAGCAGTGATATCTGCTAGTAAGGTAAACCATAAGGTTAGGGAGAAGCCGTGGATCTCAGTAGCATCTACGAAACTGATTGATGCTCGAAACCTCATCCTTCCTGGCTCTGAGCACGATAAGGAACGAAGTCAAATCAGGCGCATGCTGATAAAAAGCCTTCGCAATGTACGAGAACATTGATGGGTAGCGAATGCGAGAGAGATGGAAAAGGCAACAGTAGGCAACTTTTCAGACTTATCAGGGAAACCGGTATTAGGAATCCGAATGTGAGTGAAACTATTTCGGAAAAGGATGGCTATATTATTCATTCTCAATCCAGGAGGTTGGATCTATGGGCAGAACACTTGAGGGATCAGTTCAACTGGCCTTCAGCCGCACTTCGGTTGCCGACGATCTCCAGTCATCCTGAATGGCGAACTGAAATACGTCCTCCGACTGTTTATGAAGTTGAAAAACCTATAGAAAATCTAAAGTGAAGTAGAGTGACACGCCCTGATAGACTTACCCCTGAGATTTTCAAAGATGGTGGTCCAGTTTGAGCAGCTAGATTGAACGAGATCTTAGGCAGAATCTGGAAACTGGATGTAATCCCATCCAACTGGTCTCAATCCCTGATTGTCCCAATTCATAAGAAACGACAGAAGTCCTCTTGTGACAATCACAGGGGAATAAGTCTGACTTATGTAGTGACTAAATTGTTAGCCTTGATAATACTCTGACGCCTAACTAGAGCTTGCGAAGCAGACTCGAGAAAACCAGGCTGGTTTTCGACCTGGACGTGGTTGTATAGACCACATTTTCACACTACGACAGGTCCTGAAACACAGACACACATTTAGGCGTCCTACAATAGTTGTTTTCCTGGACCTTAAGGCGGCATTTGACTCAGTGGATCGTGAGGTTCTGTGGCAGTGTCTGTCATTGAAAGGTGTACCAAAGAGGTACATTAACCTTATACAAGCTCTCTACTCGAACACTACAGGTCGAGTGAGAGCATATGGCGAACTGTCATCGGAATTCTTTACCTCAAGTAGTGTCCGTTACGGATGTCCACTCTGTCCATTCTTGCGTACCTTTATCGTGAATATACCTTTAGGGTTAACATTATCATCGTCTAACTTTTAAGGTGTGGACCATCTACCAGGATGTTTGCTTATCTACTTAGAGTATGCCCATGACATATTTCTATTTGGTGAAGAGGCTGACAAAATGCAGAGTCTCCTGACTACCCTAAGCAACAATGCAAGCACATTCGGGATGCGGTTTTCCCCATTGAAATGCAAAATGTTGCCTCTGGATTGGTTTTTTCGGCACCTGAACTAGCGACAGGGAGTGAAGCAGTTGAAAGTGTCGACCGCCTCACTTATGTTGGGATTATCATCAGTGCCGACGGCCTGGTGACTGAACACGGGTACAGGAAGCTCGATTGGCTTCTGCCGATTCGCGTCTCTTGTTGCGTAGGCGAGATATCCGTTTGCTGACCAAAGGACGAGTGTACTGCGCAGCAGTTCGTTCTGTCCTCCTATATGGATACGAAACATGGTCAGTGAGAGTAAAAAATATTCATAGGTTACTGGTACTCGATTATAGATGTCTTCGAAGCATTGCTCGAGTATTGTGGGACAGCCGAGTAAGCAATGCTGTTGTTAGGAAACGGGTGCTATGTAAGGATGGCAGATCAATAGATGAAGTGGTGAAGTCCCATCAGTTGAGGTGGTTGGGACATGTGCTACGAGTGCCTAACCACCGACTGCCTCGACGAACTTTGTTTTGTAGTGTAGGAATAGGTCGGAAGAAAGCTAGGGCGGCCAGACCAAAACATGGCAGAAATCCATGAAGTCACTGACAGCTGGACTGAGTCATGTTGGTAGGTGTCGACTACTTGGGTGGGGCCTGCGAGATGATAGCAATCGATGGTTAGAGACCCTGAATGACATGGCTCAAAACCGATTGTGATGGCGCAGGTGAAGTTGTTCTTTGTGTTTTCTCATATCCTAAACTTCGGAGTTCCTCAACACTTTCATCTTTTTATTTTTAAGTTTATTTCACTAAATTATACTTCTCGAATCATATCTTTGAACCTTGATCTTCTCCATTACTTCTACTAACTCTACTTCTATTGGATTTGAAGAGACAATTGCATCTCTGTCCTAATTTTGTATGGCAACTTGAATTGATGTATGTACGTACGAATTTCTACGTTGTTTGTGAATTGTCTCGGTCGAAGTTGGCAGCTAACCAGTTTCCATCAATAAATGCGTAGTCAAAAACAGCTACCACTTGATAGCTGTTTCTTCCCCCATGGTTTAAATAATGAATCTGTTATTTACCACTATCCTTATTTGCTTTCATTACTAAAAGTGGTTCTTGTAAGAGACTCTTTCCAACTCAATATGTGGAGAATTATATGTTATCAATAGTGAAACTTCTCTAATTAGAACTGAACGCTTCCAATGCCATACTCACTAGTTGTACAGATGATATGTGGCATATTACTTTCTTATATTTCTTAAATAATAATAGTAGTATGTGTGTCTTCTCTTTTTGTGTATCGCATTAGTTGTTAATGAAAATTTTCTCACCTGAAATTGTTTTACATTAATATATTTATGTGTTTACCTCATTTTTATTCTCTTTTTCTCTCTCTCTCTGTTTTATTTTAGATGGCTTGGTATGGGTACTGCACGTGGTCGTATTTACAGTAAACATCCAGAATTATTTCGTTATATTTGTGATAATGAAGATAAAGCATGGCTTGTTCAAACTGGTCTAATTATAAGTCATGGTGTAAAAGCATATTTAGTTCATGCTGAACAAGTACAACAAATTGCTAGGCAACAAGTTAATTCATATTCATCAAAAGTTAATATAGAAAAATTGAGAACTTTCAAACTACCTCATTGGTTTCTACAAAAAGTATGAATTATTATTATTATTATTATTAGTTATTATTATTATTAGTTATTATTATTATGTATGCATCCTAATTTTTTATGGGGCAGATGTGAGTTGAATGAACTCTGTAACTGTAGCCCAACCACTGCCTACTTTGATAACTGATGCTGACTAATGTAGGCATAGATTGAATAAAACTAGAAACAGCTAAAGCAGAATACGATATCACTCCACGAATTTTAGTAACTGTTGGACTAAACCATAGTAATAGATGTACACTAATTGATCAGGTTCCACATGACTATCGTAACTAAAATTGGATATGTTAAGTGATATGATTTAAAATGGATCGTAAAGATGCAAATCCATTGACTGCTTTGTCTTCTTTTAAATGTTGAATTGTAAACTTATCTTATTGTCGTCTTAATTTCATATCACAACCGGATTGTTTCTTTCAAAATCACATTGTCCATGTGTTGTAATATGTTCTACCATTGTTGATCGATACTGTTACTACTTCTAATACTGTATTTTATTCGTGTTGATAATTTGATCTGTGATTGCTGATATGGTATGATGATGAATGAGACTAATGTACATATGGTTTCAAGTTTCTACATTGATATCTAAATTTTATTTAAACTAAATTATAGTTTTCAATATTTAATCAGATGTTTTATACTCTTCACAACTAATATTGATTATTTGCATGAATTCATTGTAACCACAATCTAATTGGTTGTTTAAAAATCTATTATTTTGTGTTGTGTTTTTTGTTTGTTTGTTAATTTGTGTTCACTTCAAACAGCAAATATATATATATATATATATATATATATATATATCAGAGTCAGTCAGATGCAACGTAGAACTTCGTACGTAAGTACATCAGTTCATGTCGCCATACCACATCAGCACAGAGATGTAATTGTCAATTCAAATCCAATAGTAGAAGAGGTAGTAAAGGCATTAGGAGTAATCGGAGAGGTTAGGATTAGAAGATATTATTCAAGAAGTTTAATACAGTGAGATAAGGTTAGAAAGACAAAGGTAGTGGTGCTGACGAATCCAGAAGATTATGATTTGAGAGAACACAATGAATGGATGAACTTGCGCCATTGCAAACAATTTTGAGCCATGTCGTTCAAGGTCTCTAAACATTGGTGACTTTCGTCTCGCAGACCCCAACCAGGTAGTCGACAATTGCCGACATGGCTAAGTCCACTCGTCATTGACTTCATGGATTTCTGCCATGTTTTGATTTGGCCGCCCCTAACTTTCTTCCAACCTATTCCTACACTACAAAACAAAGCTCGACGAGGCAGTCGGTGGTTGGGCATACGCAATACATGTCCCAACCACCTCAACTGATGAAGTTTCATTACTTCATTTATTGATCTGCAATCCTTGCCTAGTACTCGTTTCCTAACGGCAGCAATGCTCACTCGGTTGTCCCACGGTATACGAGCAATGCTTCTAAGACACCTATGACCGAAAACCAGTAACCTACGAATATCTTCTACTCTCACTGGCCATGTTTCACAGCCATATAGGAGAACGGAGCGAACTGCTGCACAGTACACTCGTCCTTTGATTAGAGAACGGATATCGCGCCTACGCCATAAGTGACTCAGGTTGGCAAAAGCCAATCGAGCCTTCTGTATCCGAGCTATAAATGCTCCAACATGTAGACTAGAACGAGGTTTCAACAGACCAGAAATGACGTTTCGTGAACTCGCATCGTTTGCATTAGCGGTGCAGTCAGATAAGGGAATGTGAGTAGAGTTAGTTGTGGAGAGAAGAGAGGTATGTGTGGGTGTAGGAAGGATTTGATTTCGACCGATTCGGTCTCTCGTGGTGTTACGGGTATGAAGGCGGTTGTCACTTCCCGGCTGCCAACACCGTGGAAGGTTGTTTCTTGAGGGACCTGAAATTGAAGATAGATTAGTGTTGGTCTTGGAGACCTGGGAGCGTGACCGCAGAGTCCAAGGGACAACTTCTTGAGGCCGGTCACGCACGGCCTTTTTATGAAAGGTATTTAGAGGATTAGCTCCGTTCTTAAAGGCCCTTAGTTGGCACCCTTACCCAAGGAGACGGAAATCCGTGAGTTAGGGTGAGGTGTGACATTTTTAGGGCCGACGTTTTCTAACCCTTCCTTCCTTGTGAGAAGGCAGCATCACTGCAGATGCTGGTTGTCCGAGGGAAACACCTTACTGCTGTCACACCCCTCTGCAGTCACTCAGCAGTACGACTTCGCCCTCAGACCTTGGGTAGCTGCTTTTAGTCTCATGGTTCTCCAATCGATGTGTCTGGCATGGTAGGACCTGCAGGAACATATGTTCCAGCCAGTATAGCTCGGTTGGGTGACCACGATAGGCAAGCCCGACCACCACGTCAAGGTAGCAGCTACGGTCGGGATATATATATATATATATATATATATATATATAACTGCAGTGAATAGATTTTTTTCTCTTCATCTCACTTATTCTAACTGATTTTGAGATTATTGTTAAAATAAAGAGGAAAAGAAATTCTTTTTTCGATGGTTTCTTGTTAACTTGTCAAATACAAATCTTTGTAACCCATTTTTATTATAAGAAATACAATATTCCTGATGGTATTTATTGTCTTGCGTAAAATAAACTAATTATTCCAACAAAAAAAAAGCGATGATGCACATAACCAATTACACTAAAATAAAAATAGGAAAATATTTTGTATGTTAAAGATCATATCACTGTTCTATCAATATGTGTATATTGAGATGGTGGAGAAGATTTGTTGCTCAAGTGTATGATAATGGTTGACCCAGTTTATCAACCAATCAGAAAAATCATAGGTGACATACGATCAAAAAACAAATCAAAAAGGGGATACAATCAAAACAAAGGTGCAAACAGCAACAGGTCAAAAGACAACAGCAACCAATCAAGATTGAGGTTAGCAGAACAAGCTACAGGTCAAACGTGGAGAAATTCGAATGCTTCACTTTTATATGAAGTTTGTGCTGATGATGTTGTTGTTCAGAAGAACAATGAAAGCTCCACAACCATAACATCCAGCTCAGAGAACCAAACATCACCACCACATATATGTATATTTATGATCATCATCATATTGTAGTGGTAACACTACAATATTAATCAGCTTTTTTTCCAAAAGTCTATTAATTTGTTCTAATGTTTACCATTTTAATTGTTTTTAATTTTTTTTTAAAAAAAAAGGTTAAATCTGTTGCATCTCGTCATTCATCTTTCACCCATATCATGTCAACCGAACTAGTAGAATCCACGAATAATGAAACAACCAAGCATAAACAGAATAATTCTTCATTAGTTGATAAACAATTTACTTCTTCTTCATCATCTTTTTCAACACTGTCTACGTCTCAATCAGACATTGGTCAATCCAAATTGGACAATTTGATGACTTTATCAAATCCATTGGAAATGAATCCTTATACTACTACTAGTCATCATGTGAAGAAAATTCAAGTATGTCTCTCTGTGTGTGTGTGTGTTTGTGTGTATTTTATTACATCATCATGTGACTACTGATAACTACTTTGAATTAAAACACTGACAATGGTAAATTATTTAATTTCATATTCAAAATCTCACAGTACTTACTACACTTGATGTGATATAGTAAACAAATTTGAACCAATAGTGTTGAATCAACAAATAAATAATTCATACTCAATGAACAAGTCATCAATAATAGATTCTTATGTAAGTTTGGAAATTCGTCTACCCAACCAACACTCAACTGACTATTATAATGAAACTGATTTAAACTATTCGATTAAGTGATTATGCTTGATTTATTTAACCGAAGTTCAAATCCAACTTGTTTGTTTTTCTCAGTATGCTACTACTACCTTATAACATCATACCATACCTAGTCTATATGTCTTTACAATAGTATGCTAGTTATCAAAGCGTTAGTGCTTTTATTGCCCAATTGGTTTATGTAAATTAAGTATGTTTATCTAGTTAAAACTAATTTCCTCAACTAGAAACACGTGTATATGATCTAAATATAATAATTAATGAATTCTCACTTATGCATTTTGTTCAGTTTAAGTTTATTGCAATTGAGAACCGTGACTCACCCATGTAATCATTCTATTCAGTTATTAGTTTTAAGCTGACACAGAAGCGTTTAGTTTTTTTTTTCATTTGAAATCCATCTCTACTCTTAATCATAGTGCAACCTTAGTTAATCTGTCTTAAACACACCTCCGATTCTCCTCGTACTACCGTCATGTTCTGAATTTTTTTTCTCACTTTTTATGCGTCAAACTAAACACATCATAAAGATTTTGGTTGCTTTCGTGTTTGAATAATTTCTGTTCTGAATATTCACCTAATGCCTAGCTTCGAAAGCAAATTTCCAGTTGGATTCGATCATGTTGAATATGAGGTCGTTACTCACCGAAAACTATGAAAGATGGTTTCGCAATGTCGTGTTTTCACTGAGATAAGATTCATGGCTCCATAATCTATAGGTTAAGTATTCGTACACTAGACTGAAAGTTTGATTGCCGCTTCCGTAAACATAGAGATTCTCACTGCTAAGGAGTCTGATATTAGGATGAAAAAGGTGTCCAGTGCTCCCAAGTTTGTAACAGTAGTCCAACTTAGATCAATGCAACATTTCGTTTTTTATTCAACAATCTTTACAACCTAATGCTGAAAAGATGATTCCCCCATATCTACACGAACATATTAACAAATTTAATGCAGTTAGTTCTATTTTATAAACCAAAAACAACGATCGTTATATATGTCGTACGCTCTAATCATGCCCCACGAAGACAGTGATTTATTGAAGCAAATAGGGTTTATTATATAATTACATATGTGATATGTATAAAGTCATTTAGTTCATCAATGAAAAATAATTCGAAATGCTATCTAAATTCAATTTATAAATGAAACAGTATAACAGTATATCGAATATTTAAAAAATATGTACAGAGTGTTTTGATGATGAAAATGACAAGAATTATTAAAAAAAATAATTATAAAGTAATCATTATATTGATGATTACTATCACTGATAATCATAGCAATGGTTGAAGCAACCCAGTTGCTTCAAGACTGGGTTGCATCGGCACCTGAACTAGTGATAGGGAGTGAAGTAGTCGAACGTGTAGACCGCTTCACTTATCTGGGGAGTCTCATCAGTGCTGACGGTCTGGTGACTGACGAAATCTCGGCACGGATACAGAAGGCTCGATTGGCTTTTGCCAACCTGCGTCACTTATGGCGTAGGCGTGATATCCGTTCTCTAATCAAAGGACGAGTGTACTGTGCAGCAGTTCGCTCCGTTCTCCTATATGGCTGTGAAACATGGCCAGTGAGAGTAGAAGATATTCGTAGGTTACTGGTTTTCGGTCATAGGTGTCTTCGAAGCATTGCTCGTATACCGTGAGACAACCGAGTGAGCAATGCTGTCGTTAGGAAACGAGTACTAGGTAAGGATGGCAGATCAATCGACGAAGTGGTGAAACTTCATCAGTTGAGGTGGTTGTGACATGTCTTACGTATGCCGAACCACCGACTGCCTCGACGAACTTTGTTTTGTAGTGTAGGAATAGGTTGGAAGAAAGTTAGGGGCGGCCAGACCAAAACATGGCAGAAATCCGTGAAATCATTGACGACTGGACTTAGCCATGTCAGTAATTGTCGACTACCTGGTTGGGGTCCGCGAGATGATAATAATCGATGGTTAGAGACCTTGAATGACATGGCTCAAAATCGTTCGCAATGGCGCCAGTGCATTTATGCTTTGTGTTCTCTCAAATCCTAATCTTCTGTATTCTTCAACACCTCTAGTTTTGACTTTCTAAACTTTTCTCATTAAATCATACTTTTTGAATAGTATCTTCTAATCCTAACCTCTCCGATTACTCCTAATACCTTTACTGCCTCTTCTACTTTTGGATTTGAATTGACGATAACTTCTCTGTGCTGATGTGGTATGGCAACATGAACTGATGTACTTACGTACAAAGTTCTACGTTGCATCTGACTGACTGACTGATATGAGAAAACGGAAGTCTTATTCGATGAGGTCAATTGTTTTTTTTTTGTTAAATAATGTAGAAATGATAATTCTAGTTGTACTAATCATAAATTAACATTGAAACTATGGCTCAACTAAACAATAAAGATAATATTTTAATTAAATAAACATGAAGTCAACTACATGAATCAGATTTTGAAAACGAGAGAGTGACTATGATAACAGTTTCTAGTTTACTACAAGTTCTTTTGCATACACAAATTGGATCTGAGATGTTTACAAGTGGTTGTCTCTATGTAACATTATTCTATCTATTTATCACATGGAAGACAGTATCAAGCTTTACTGAATGATTAGTGTCGAGAAAATTCATCGTCCTATTGCATTGCGAGATAGTTTTGATCTATTGAAGATGAAATCCTTTGATATACGTTCTGTGATTCCTTTCCGTTTTTCTAACGTACATGGTACTGGAGATACAGGTGAAAAGCTTGAAATTCTAGAAAACCATCTAAATACAGCATCAATTCTATTCTGTTCCTTACTGATAGATAGTGAAATTAGTACGATTTAATTGTATGTCTTCAGTGCATCATCTATTGCTATCTGTTAACAAGGTCAGTTAGTTAAAATGTAGGACTTGGTACGTATGTATGTATATCAGTTCAAATTGCCATGCCCAAGTTGGCATAAAGAGATAGAATTTTAAGGCCAAATCCCTGAGTAGTGTGTAAAGGTAGTAACAGCATTAGTGATAAAGAAAAACGTGAGAGATGCATCAGTCAGTCTAATATCAGAACTCGGATTATTTGCGTTTTGATTTTGTCATGTGTTACAGATACCGTATCACCATCTATTATGACACAATTAAAGTTGAATGATTTTGGTCGAAATTTCACGCTAGATGACATTATAGACTTGGTTACTTGGTAACAATAATTCATGTTATGCTTGTTACCTGGTTATTTTCTTGAAAAATTTAATTTTTCTTAAATTTAACTATAAAGCATTTATGCTTGTTTTATCCAATTTTTTGTTTAATCTCTTCCACAATTATTTAGCATGCTCCAACTACCGTATCCCTCTCCTTGTCATCATCCTCTTCATCTGCCTCATCTAAATATTCTTTGGCTACATCATCGTCAATCCAAGAATACCATGACACAGATCATAGTCAAAACAGTAATAATAATAATAATAATTCTCAATTAAACCATCATTGTACCAAATCAAATCGGAAATCAATCAATTATCATTCAAAAACTCAATCTATTGACATAAATGATGAGAATAGCAATAATCATTTGATGGATACAATTCAATCACAGCCTAGTCCTAACCCACCGACATTGGAACGATTTGATTATACTACTAATAGATAGTTATGATAATGTTCACATTTCTTCACTTTCAATTTCATACTTATGTCTTTCAAGTTTATTTATTGATCCAAACCACTCACTCACTCACTCACTCACTTGTTGTTGCTACTTCTTTTTCTTTTCTATCCCCCCCCCCGCCCAATAATCTTATTTCTAAGATATTTTTTTTGTGTCGACAATTCACATTTCACATTTCTTTTCATTACGTAATGTGATTTCATAGTGCTCTATGGAATTATTTGATAACAAGAAAAAACAAACTATTATTATTGTATTATTATAATTTATTATTGTTGTTGTTTAATATTTGTGCATTTCAATTAAACTAAACAAACAACATAGGTAATAAAAGAGAAAGTCAATTAAAATCATTGAAAAGTATCAAAAAATTGTCTTTTGCTCTTTGGAATTCTCTATTGGTGTTTCCCTTTGTGTTTTTTTTCTGTCACCTTTTTTTTGATTGTGTGTGTGTGTGTAATTGTTTTGTGTATTCATGTAATTATTTATTGTACATATAATTCACATTATCAATTGCCTGTCTGTTTGTGTATGTATATATATATATGTAATTTATAATTATGGTTAATACCAATGGCTGTGTGATTAATTACTTTCATATTTATATAATAATCATCTTCCCTGTCATTTTGGTGTTTGTCTTTTTTTTCATTATTACTTTTCTTTCTATATTTTTCTTGTTGGTTTAATTTTTTCTTCTTTTAATGAAAAGAAAAAATATATATATATGATTATGTTCCTTCTTTATTTCTTATAATAAAATTATCAATATATCCATTCATAAGAAATTGGTTTTGTTGTTTAATTCAAATTATACGATGAACTCTATTGTTGCAATAATATAACCCCTTGTACACACATGTTCTGTTTTTATTTACCTGAGATGAACAAGTCATTATTATGATTTGTTTTTGTGTCGTGTGTGTGTGTGTTTGTGTATTTCTCCCGTATCTGTATGTATGATTTCTGGTACATTTATTTAAAATAACATGTTTTGTTTAGACTAAATTATCAAGATGGGGTTGATTTTATTGATTCGTTCGACTGTGAAAACAAAATTTAATTTATACATTTCAAGTTAGACATGTGTGATTTTTATTTTTCCGGTTGCTAGTCTTGGCAATACTTAGTATAAATTTTACGTAATGGATATCAAATTTTTGATAGTTTAAGCAATGTAGTGTTAATAATTGTAGGCAAGTTGTTGTGAAACGATGTTCATCTTAAACTAACAGAACACGCATAAACCTTGTCTGTGTTTTGTTGAATCTCACTAAAGTCTTCTGAAATTATAACCCATGTAAAAACTGTCCATTTTTTTATGCTAAGACTTTTTAAACATCACTATTACCACTGAAAACCCAATGATTTCTTCTATTGTGCATATTTTAATTTTTAAAACAATACAGTGGATTTTTACATTTTGAATGCAGTCAGTTATGTCATTTTCACCATTATGTAATGTTAATCCTTACAGTCATTTTGTGTGATTGTAAAAAAGAATCGTTTCATCGTTAATTTATTAGTATCATTCAACCAGCTTCTAACTTTATATTGGGTCAGAAAAAAAAATGAACGACCCAACCGTCTGTCAAATTATCTAATTAAGTTTTAGTGAAATAAGTACTAACATATGTGTCTGATAGGTTTAATCTCAAGTAGCATGATTTAATTTATCAGATATTGAATAATGAGAAGTGAAATGGTAACTTATTTCGTAAAGTATTCAACTTCTGACTACTGAATTTCAAGTTTGGATCCTGTTCCATGAACTTCAATTTTTTCAGCTGTATAGTATTACCAGAAGTCATAATTGAAGTATGGTTGAAAGCTAAGTACATAAACTCTGCGCTTAGTATAATATGAAATATTCAGCAAAATCTTTACATAGCCAAACATATATTACTATTGGTTATAAAGTTAGGTTGATAATTCATTCCACTAACTAAATATACGATTCATAATGTATTAGAAAATAGCATACCAGAAACTCATTTATATCTCGTGAAGCCTTTTTATGAAAACTAATTACTATACTTAAAAATAACTTTTCAATATTCAACATAATCTAGTCTATTAGCAAGAGTTAATAGTGTTCAGGTTATAAGTTTGCTGATTAAGAAATCGTCCAGTTTTGAAGCAAAAGACCATTATTAATACGAATTTTACAAGCAAATTAATTTGAACGTTATGGTAGAAAAAGTAATGTAGTCTTTAGTGTTAATCATCTCTAAAAAAAGAGGCGGTGACTGCATTCTGTAACTAAATTACGCCCCGTAATCGATTACTAAAGAATTTCTCGCTTTCTAATCAATAACAGTGATTATATATATTACTTGAGTGACCGGTTAGATTATTGATATACTATGCTAATGAGTTCCATAAAGGTCAAAATCATTTTACTGATTTCTTTCATTCAGAAAAACTAAATAAGGTATTTTGTTTCGTCTAACCTCCAAACGGAAGATATCAAAAACCCGGTAATTGAAACACACTTTGATGGCTTATTTATCCAGACTCATAAATTATTTAAAACTTAACCTAATCTTGCTTTTATAGATTACCAAGCTTCATTGATTAAAATTACAATTGTGATGGGTGTTAAATTAAACATTTGTTATGTTTCATACACATTCAAACTACTAAGTTGAAGAAATTAAATGAAAACGAAATGATTCAAAGAACTCCAATAGAATTGGGGTTCCGTGCACAAATTTCAACCTAGACAAGAACGATAATATCACTCAAAAAATATATATATACAATCAATTCATTGTATTTCGTTAAATTTCTTTTCAACTATAACATATAAGCTAATTGTGTTTTAATTTTTCTCAATAACTAATATGAAAATTAAATTATCAATAATGTATGGGTTATTTGAAATGCAAACTTTACTTTTATAAATAAATAGTCAATTGTCTTGACAACAGAAATAAATTGAAAGTTTTACTTGTAATTATTGTAAATGACAAAATTTCTGTGATTCAAATAGATGCTTTATCTTTTTTGAAATTCCTTAAAAAATAATTTTCTAATCTATTTTGTACAATAACACTATCTTAAATAGTTTAGGATTGTCATACCTAAATAAATAAATAGAGAGAAAGAGACAAGAAAAAATAAACATGTTTAAACTAGTTTAACAGTTTGCTTTATTTAATAAATAGTTCAAATAACCTATACATTATTGATAATTCATTCAAATTTCATTATTGAACATTTATATTCTGTTATAAACTGGAAATAGTTAAAACAAAAAAAAGCATTAACTTATTTGTAAGCTGAAGACAAATTAAATTCATAGTATACTGAAAATATATTGTTATTCTTGCTTTGTTCAAACGCCAATAAAATGATATGCAAAATGTTTTTTAAAAATGCACAATATATATATAGATCAAATAAAATACTAGCTGAAAATAATATCCTATTATTATAAAAAGATTGGAATTGTTAATTTTACTCTGAAAGTTATTCATGGAATAGGGAAATAGTATCAATTATTAGATCTGTTCTTGAACTGCTGATAAATGAAGAGATGAAGTTTGTGTGTCAAAATTGTTAAGTTCGTCACTAGGTGTACGCTTGAAACTATTTATTACCAGTTCACCTTAGTCGATAAACGCGAACGAGACAATGGACCAGCGTCCAGATAGGCTACTTTGAATCCTAAGCTAAAGACAGAAGGCTTTGTAAGCGTAGAAAGTATATTTATTCTACAAAACACCCAGCAATCACACAATACAATCAAGCACACAACTTTCGTTTATTTATACATCATTGAAACGTCCTTGGGACAGTTATGAAAATAGCACACTAAAATACACAACAGCCAAGGATTTTCCTGTTGGGAAATGAAATCTCAAAGTCAAGTGATCAGCCCATGCTTGCAAACGTGAAATCCAAGATAAGGCATTTATCAAGCGAGTTCTTAGGATCTAACATCCTCAACAAAAACGTATCATAATCTAATGACTGAAGGAAACATGTCCTCTAGTGTCAATAAGCAGGAATATAGAACTGTCAAAAAAATTTTTTTTTTGAAAAAGAAACAAACACATTACCTTACCTAATATTTATCAATAACTATTTTAATCTTACAATTTCATTCAACATATGAAACTCATTCAACTTAACATAATATAATATTAATCACTTCAACCTTGACAAGTTTAATTTTATAATTTTACACGATATATTTTATTTTAAACTTGATTAATTTTTTGATTCAGTAATTTTGATTTGTAACTGTAGAACCTAAAGAGAATAATGCATGAAATTATCTTCAATTATAGATATGCTTCAATATTAAAATAGTTTAGAAATCATACAACACGTCTTAAAGCAGAAATACTTCATATAATATATATGTCATCTTAATTATATGAATAAGAATAAAGAAAGAAGTTAAACTTGATCAATGCATCTCCTCTCACAAACTAACCTTGTCAGCATAAATGTGATAAGACAATTTTTCCGCATACTGTTTAATTTAACTTATATATATATATTTGGCAAAATGTAACAATCTACTCATATTTGTTAATTTGGTAAATTCATCATTCACTAGTGAATACAAAAGAACTTTAGTCGAATAATCATATGTTAAATTTTAGTCTACGATTAATTATGTAAATAAAAAAAACTATTTGCATTAAAAACATATATATTTAAATGTTGTCAACAAAAAACAAATTCGTTTTTATTCTCATTCGTTGGAAAATTGAAAAAATTCTAATCATAATGATGAATTAATTTTACCTGTAAGAACTAATCAATATTTTGAACACATAAATATATATATATATTTGCATTATCGTTGTTTATAATCAATAACCTAGACAGTTTGTTATGTTTTATTTACATCAAGTACAATTATGAAAATGATACGACAAAACACTATGAATCGATTTCTATGATTGGACTACCCGTATAGTATTTTTATAGTTTTCATAATTTCAAAGATTTTAAAATAGTGTGAAAATGTAGAGGCTCTTCAATAGGGATCCCATATATATATACATATATATGTTGTAATTCTACATTGTTGTTTATGCAATCTATTATTTCATTTATTAACTGTTGAAATATTTCTCATTGTTAATAATTGACAAAAATTTAATTATCATTGTATTACTATGTTTTGTGCTACAAACGTTCTAGTGGTGTTGTAACCACAGACATGGTAGCCGGGCTAACCTATCTTGATGACCCAACCGAGCTATATTGGCTGGAACATACGTTACTGTAGGTTC